CATGCTACAGAAAAACAATCCACTTCCTCGACTGGTCAGACTGGTTTGCTATTTTCCTGCTCCTCCTCTCCGCCTTCGGGGTTGTGCTCATTTTTTCCATCAGTGCAATATTCACTAAAAACTTGAGCACACCAGTTGTAAAGGCATCCGGAGGTTTAACTGTCTGCTATGTTATCCTCCTCAGCCACTTCCTCATTTTTTTAAGCACTGTGTTCTTCATAGGTGAACCCACAGAGTTCAAATGTAGAACTCGCCAAGCCCTCTTTGGCGTAAGTTTTGCACTCTGCATTTCATGTATTTTAATAAAATCGCTAAAAATTTTACTAGCCTTTAGCTTCGATCCCAAGCTGCAGAATTTCTTGAAATGTGCCTATAAACCTATAACCATTGTATTCATCTGCACTGGGATTCAGGTTATCATTTGCACCTTCTGGCTAATATTTAGGACGCCTTTTGTAAAGCAAAATTTCTCTATTCCGAGAGCCATCATTCTGGAGTGCAACGAGGGCTCTGTTGTGGCTTTTGGGATTATGCTGGGTTACATAGCTGCTCTAGCCTTCATCTGCTTCATATGTGCCTTTAAAGGCAGGAAGTTACCAGAGAACTACAACGAAGCTAAGTTCATAACATTTGGCATGCTAATTTACTTTATAGCATGGATTGTATTTATCCCTGTCTATGTAACTACGTTTGGCAAATACCTACCAGCGGTGGAGATCATTGTTATATTAATATCCAATTATGGGATTCTCTGTTGCACTTTCTTTCCTAAGTGCTATATCATAATTTACAAGCAAGAAACAAATACAAAGTCTGCCTTCCTCAAGATGATTTACACGTACTCTTCCAAGAGTGTGGGCAGCATTGCTGTCAGCCAGATTTCCTTGGACTCGAAGTCTTCCAGCTCCCGAATCACTGCGTCAGACTCATGTAATGCTGAGAAAAGCTCTGTGAATGGAAACTGCCATATTCAAGTGCCTGGGCAGACACCAGCCAAAGAGAAAGTTGCTTCTAAAAGTGCAGCAAGGACTCTGTCCAGGAAAAGGCTGTCCAGCATATGACTGGGCATTGCTGAAGTACTAGAAGAAGAAAAGCCATTCTCCTTCAGATCTCTCTCTTTTTGGTACACCCAAGGAAAGCACACCATGCAAACCATACTCTGATGGTTATTCATTGCTATGTTTGAAAGGCTTTCCTTGGAACCCCAGCTATTGTGGGGACCTCCAGCATCTCTCCCCTGTCTCCCTCCCCATCCTCAACCCATTCATACAAACCACCAGAGCCAGGACCTCAATACTCTCAGCCAAACACAAGTGTCAGCAAGGCCTTACTTCTCACAGGCAAGCAGGCAGGAATGCATGGACTCACACAGTTTTTCTAATGTCTTTTCTACCCAATTGCTTAAGGAGCTGCTCTTCTCACCTGGATCTGTTTCACAGGTCAAAAAGAGCCCCCTCCTAGTCTTTGTTTGCCAGGATAAACAAGCCCAGTCCTTTTGTCCCCACTTTTAAGATAGGCTTTCTATTCTCCTGAACATCCAAAAGCAACTTTTTCAGCCAGATTGAGTGAATCCTTTGTTGGTTTTAAATTCCGTGCCCAAAATTGTGTGCCTTATTCCATATGGGTGCTGCAGCAACATCTAAAGTTCCTTGTATTTGCTATAGAGATAATGAATTGAAGAAAGGGCTGTGTAAAAATAGAAGGATTTACCCAGACTGCTGCAGTTGTCTGTAGTGTTTGTAGGCTCACTTACTTTTTTTCTGTACTCAGAAATACACTGATTTGCCTGCCTCACACACTTTCTCTAACTCATGTGGAGAGATGACCCATTACACTTGTCCCCAGATATCCTCTTTTTTGAAGGAACGAAATTTCCTTCCTTCCACAATATGCAACATCAAAGCTTACAATCATAAATTGATTCCCTTCATTAGCATAAATAATGTAATAATCAGAATCAGCATGAATGCACCCTGTGAATTTTAGCTTAATTGACACTTGTTCAAAAAGTCTAACTTTTACAAGAACATGGCATTACACCACTCCAGTGCATTAAAATCACACCAGAATGAGCTGCTCTGGAAGTCTCTGCTCTGCAACTCAGTGAATATGGCTACACAGCATCTTCTGTGCAAGAGGCACTCTCCAGGAAGGAGGACTGTCAGCTGGGACAGCCACACTGCATCTCCTAGCCAAGGACGGCCAAGTCTTGTGCTGGGCAGGGCACAGCTTTCCTGTGGAGCTGTCTCACAGCTGGGGTGAAGGAGAGCATCTTCAGACACTGAGCAGCAGAAGGCTTTCGAAGAACATTTCTATGTGTTCATGAGGCCCCTGGCGTGGACCAGAGAAACCCCGCTTTGCAACATTAACTGCAAAAAGATGCTTACCTCTTCAGTTTGGTCCATGCTTCTGTTTAGATGTGGAATGATGGTACACTGTTGCAGGCCAAAATAAAGCTTTGCAGACTTGTTGTTGCACGTTGTGTTATTGTTATATGCAATAGATCTATTTTTCAGCGTTTCTATTTATATGCCGCAACCGACATCTGCATGATTTTCCTACTCAGATTTGTTTAAAATGTCTACAGATCAAATTTCAGCAACGGACACAATTTCTGAAATCACTGTGATGCAGACTTACATAAGTCATGCAAATCTGGGAAGATAATTTTAAAGTAGTATGAATGGCAGGGTGTAATTTATATATAGATTTGAGCAATTATGTACTTTCTGCAGCCGACTGGAAATGCTGCAGGCTTATGCACGTACATTTGTACAATGACTGCTGTTTGTGCTTCAGTGGTTGTGAGTACTGTTCAGAACACAAACCTACGTGCAGTGAGGTTTGGCTGCTCCTACAGTTTGGCTGCCAACGCAGCAAAAAGAGGAACACAAAGCTTTCATCACATGATGAGTTCCAAAAAGCTAATTTGGCTAATAGTTTGTACATGTATTTACTGTTTTCAAAAGCAGTGAGCATATCATTTATTGAACACTGGGGTGATTAAAGTCATGTCCTTGTTAAAAACTGAATTGGCTTGCTTCGTTTCCTCATCTGCAGGCTGGTTTGGCCTCGAGAAGCAGTAGCAGAGCCCCCTTTCGCTGCTCCCACCCGCCAGAAGCCGGGGCGCCCAGTGCGGTCAGGCGGTCCCCCCTGCGGGACAGGGAGGGAAGTGCCTCCAGAGGGCTGTGGCAGCAGTATGAGCGTCCCGCAGCGCCTATCCGTAATGAAAGGGATCGCATAAGGCAGAAATTCAGGGGAAGAGCATGCAAAAGCTAATACATCCCATCCTCCTAGGAACCTCTCAACTACATGCACACCTCTGGTCCACTTCTCCAGAGCCGTCAAGTCCCCTTTGTCCATGACTTCCATGAGCTCTCTGTCTCTCCAGCAACTCGCAACTTCTGTGCAGAGCATAATCATCCAGACCCGGGAGAGGTGATGCAATAGGTTTTTGGCAGAAAATGCTCATAAAATTAAGTAAAACAAAATGAAACAGACAAAAAGATTCCAATCTCTGCTGCATGTCCTTAAACATCTGAGTAGATGTGAGTGCAGGGACAAAGGGGATGATTCTTCTTTCCAGACCAGGGCATGCTCTGCCTTTTTCCATTGGAAAGATCCCACCACAAATTACCCCAATGCTAGTGTGTGCATGTGTCCATCTTCAAGTTTTTTTTTTATCTCTGAAAGTGTCAGAGAGGACACATGCTCCCCAAACATTGATGTTCAGGGAAGTCAAGAAAACAGAAATGATGTTTGTTAGAGAAGAGTGTGAAGCTGCACTATTCGCCCTTTGGGGTTGTATGTCATTCATTGCAATAATGCTGAATAATGGACACTGAAGCTCTTGGTCACTTCTTTTGGTGCTTTTTCATCTCCCCAGAGACATCATGTAAAAGGGCAGAGCTGTTCTGTGCACGTGCAGAGGTGCATGTTCTTCCTCCCTACAACTGTTAAGAGACATGAGAAAGCCAGTGCCTGGCTTTTGCACAGGTCTAAGATAAACTTGGTTTGTTTAAATAAGTCCCATTTGCAGGAAATTTTATTCCAGTATAGAATGTGGGAAGTTGGTTTTCATTTTCTTGACAGTTTGCTGTCAGAAAGAGCTGCCTAACTCAGGCTGTGCTGCTGAGAACAGGGAATAAAGTTTTGTCTACAAATGATTCACTAATTCTGCCTCACACTCTCCCACTGAGCACAGACCTGTATGCTGCCACCTCACAGTGCAGCCCTGATGAACAGGGCCCCATCCGTTCTGGTAGCACACCTCTGGAGTCTTTATGGCGTTCATTGTGATAACAGAAAACAATAAATTCTGCGGTTCTGGCATTGGCTGGATCACAGAATCATAGAATCACAAAATGCCTTGAGTTGAAAGGGACTCATAAGGATCATAAAATCCAGCTCCTGGCTCCACACAGGACCACCCAAAAATCAGACCATATGTATGAGAGTGCTGTCCAAATGCTTCTTAAACTCTGGCATCTTAGGGCTGTGACCACTGCACTGAGGAGCCTGTGCCAGTGCCCTGACCACCCTCTGGTGAAGAATCTTTTCTGGATAACCAACCTGACCTTGCCTGTCATGACTGGGAGATGTAACATCACCTCCTGATCCACACACTGGGAGTGCTCCAGCTGAGACACGGTAGGCTATTTTGCACAGCACTGCCACAGGCTGCTTGCTAAATACATATTCCGTACCGCTTTCCAGACTTCCTTTTAATGTTTGTTTGTTGTTGTTATTTGTTTTCCCCAAAGGATATTTTGGTACTGTGTGAGCTTGGACCGCCCCGAGTGTTTCTCTCATCAGTCCCTTATGACTGCTTTAAGGTGGGCGGGTGAAGTGGAGGCAGGCAGCTCCTCTCAGCCCCCCAGAGCTGAGCAGGGCAGAGCAGAGCAGAGCAGAGCAGGGCAGAGCAGAGCAGAGCAGAGCAGAGCAGGGCAGAGCAGGGCAGAGCGAGGGACCCGGCGGTGCGGTGCTGCCCGGCCGTACCCATGCTGCCACTGCCTCTGCGCCTCCTCCCCGGGAGGCTGAGAGGTGCCCCGCTGCTCCGCCCGGCCTCACTAAGAGGAGCCGCCGCCGGCGACGGGCCCGGGCGGGGCCCAGGAGACCCCCGAGGTAAGGACAGGGCTAGGCTGGGGATTGAGGGCTCCCCACCGTCACCCTGGCTTCGTTATTTTGCCTTCTGGCTTAAACGCCTAGTGAGTGTGAGTCTGTAGGTAGAGGGATGTTTGAACGAGAGCCACAAGGATGCTCCCCAAGGGAGGTGGTCCAAGGGCTGTGCAGAGGGAGAAGCACCTCCATCCCTCTATCCCTGGAGAAGCTCAAGGCCAGGTTGGATGGGGCCATGGGCAGCCTGAGCTGGTGGGGCAGCTCAGCTCTCAACAAGGATATGAACCCGGATGGGCTTTAGGGTCCCTTCCAACACAAATATAATTCTGTGGTATGATTCCTCCTCTGGCCACTAGAGCACTAAGAGGGATTTGCTCTTTCCACTCATTACTGCCACTCATCATGGCCTGATGGGGTGTTTCTTTCCAATCCTTCAGCTGAACAGGCACACAAGGTGGTTGCAAGCTACAAACCTTCAAAGTTTGACAAAAAAATCCTCCTGTGGACCGGTCGCTTCAAAACGGAAGAAGAAATTCCTCTGAGGATCCCGTAAGTTCATTCCAAGGGTGGCACTGGGTTGAAGGGCATGAAGCAGAGGGTGCCCAGCAGAGCACTGCTGAGCTCAAACTGGGAAGAACTTTTGGCACTGAGAGCTTTGAAATGAACTAGCAGGAAGAAAACTCTCCTGTGTTGCTGACAAGTTAGAAAAAATGTTCCCTACTGGAGTCCCCAGATGCTGTAATTAAGAATTGGACTCTTGCCTTGGTCTCTGCATGTTGTTGGTATACATCCACACTGCCTTGTTTGTTTATTCCTGATGTGTAATCAGAGAAGGATGCTATCATAAACTGCATGTTCTATTTATTGCCCCCATAAACAGCTCTAAGGGAGCTGAGAGCCGCTAAATGATTGCATCAGACAAACTGTAATTTATTATAGCTTAAAGAAGAATGTGAGGAAAAAAAAAAAGTAGATACAGAGGTCGTGAGAAAAAAATCCCCAAAGGCAAATCCTAGGACAGTTGAATACTTGATGCAGCCTCAGCCTCTGGTTGACCCCTGCTCACCTCAACTTGCTGTAAGTTGCTTTTCCCAAGGTCTTCAGGACCACTTTGTGCCATTGCAGCACACAGAACTGTATGAACCACTGAGGGTGTCCCCCAGCCTTTCCTTCACCTGTTTGTTCCCAGCAGTGTTGCTGCTGCATCTGGGGCTGAGCAGCAGCTTTACCGGAGTGTCCAACTGCTCTTGCTCAGTGCTTATCCCACTGCCTTTTCTTACAGGAAGGTCCAGGCAGGTCTCAGAAGCATTATTTGCACTACTGAAGTCATTGAAAGGTGTTTGTAAAGGTACTATGCTAATCCCTCTGCACATGTGCACAGTAACCACTTGGACAGACTTTCTACCTTCTGTGTGAGCAACACATTTCTAGGAGTCACCACAACATTCTAAAATAAGTTAGTTTTAAGATGTTCAAGTTGAACTGTATCAGTTTTCAGTGTTAATAAAGCACTGCAAGAAACTGTTTGCTACCTGTGAACAAAATGTGGCTGCTGAAGATGTGTGGTAAGATGAGAGTCAAACCTGCAGTCCTCACTCAAAATGTTTATATCAATGACAGCAAACAGCTGTTACTGCCTTCGGCAGAGGCTTAGCCAGGACCTTGATGAGGGATAGAGTAACAGAGTCCTTAATGTGCAATTAGAGGAGATAATAAGGTTTGTTCTCCTTAAAGCAGAGACAGAAAGCTAGGAGAAAGTGAAAACCTGCTTCTGAAGAATTTCAATTAGTGCACTGAGAAATATAATTAGGTTTATAAGCCAGACCAATAACACTTAGAGCTTTGCTTTTGTTCTTACAAATGGCTTCTGGATTAATGGCTTTAGGTGGCAGTCTGTTGTGCGGTTTGTTTTAAAGATGTTGCGCTTACATTGTAATGTGAAAGGGGTTTCTTGTAACCATTGCATTGCCAGCCATTAGCCAGGAACCTGCCCTGCATCCGGGTGCGTGCGCTGTAAGCACTGGGGGAAGTACAGCAGAGCTGCCTGTAATTTGTCCTTTTCATTGTTAAACCTTTGAGAAACATGTATTCATATATGTATATATATATATATGCATATTTGATGTATTTAAAACCAATTTAAGAAAATAAAGGAAAATAGCACACATTCAGTACTACAACAAGTATCATAGAAACAGTGCTTGCCAAGTGCCACGTCTGGCTCAGGGAATGACTTCACTGAAATTTCTGGATGCTTGCAGTAATGGGGAGGTTTCCCTTATTCCTGGTTCTCATAAATCCCCCTACATCACACTGTGAGCTTCAGGTGCAATTTGTAGCATGCTTACCTCAAGCACTTCAGTGCAAATGTTTTTTATTTATTTTTTTTTTCGGATTAGAATATTCCACAATCCTTTAAATGTCATTTTTCTGCTGGAAATGGTTAAGGGTGCACATAGGTGGTACAAACCCAATCACCACAGCAATAGATGCTTCTTTCCAGAGTCAATTTATTTCCACTCTGCAGTAGTGATATTACAACTGTGAGACCTTGAGAAATGCTTCTATTTTTTAATGACTCCGTTCCAAAACTTTAATTGCAGGCCAGAGATGCTAGACAGGGCAAGGAACAAAGCCCGTGTTAAAGCTTGTTACATCATGATCGGCCTTTCAATTGTTGCCTGTTTTGCAGTGATTGCTTCAGCAAAAAAGGTGAGCATACTGCTGGCTAGCTTCTGTGTAGCATACCTCAAAGTGGTGGCATTCTGTGAGAACTTAGGGTAACAGTGCTCCCATTGCTTTGAAACAAAAGCATTAAGTTGGTGGTTAATCCCGAGACCAGGCCCATTTCTCCATGCCAATGGTGACTCACAACACTACTCTCAAGAAGGGCTTTCCTTCCGCAGGCTGCAGCACGGCACGAATCCCTGACAAGCTGGAATTTGGCAAAGAAGGAGAAGTGGAGGAAAGAGGCCGCACTGGCAGCGGAGTCAAAGCCAAAGTAACTTTGTGAGATGCTTCGTGTCCTTGCAGGAGCAAAGTTAACAGTCAAGAGAGGTTAGTGAATTTCACCACCAAATGGACAACTTTAGCACTGCACAAACAGAAACTAACAGCAGCGATTCTGAGATCACACAAACTGAGGCTTTTGTTGAAGATAGCATACACACTTGCACCTGATTGAAACCAGAGTGCGTTGCACATGATTAAAACCAATAATTGCAAAGAAGATGAGGTAGATGCCTAAGAATGAAAAGTAAAGGGCTTGCCAAGTGCCCACAATCTGCCCTAAAACCTTTCTTTCAGGCTTGACATTGAGTTCTACTAAAAAGATCAGAGTTCCTTACTGGAAAACCTAGTTGCATTTTCTTAGTCAAAGGTTAAGTACAGCAAAGACCAAACAGTGCTGAAGCAACAATACTGAAACTGCAAAAATAAGGGGACAAACAATAAATTTTTGTAGTGCTAAGCATGTAACAAACTAATTGGCAAGAATGCTTCAAAATTTTACATAATGAGAGAAGGCTTGGGGAAGGAAGGCAAGGGAAGCAAATTGGTGATCACCAAATTCTCTAGTCCTTAAAGACTTCACTAAGAATTTCCCAAACGAGTGGTCAGTTCTACATGTGATCATCACACAACTGCACGTTTGGTCAGATGTTTAAAAATCTATTTAAAAACAAGAGGTGCTCGGCCAAAGTGCACAAACCAGCCTTTCCAAATTCATTTTTCTCAATGTTGTATTCAAAACGGCATTCGTGCTTTCCACCCTAAGAAGCCACACTCATTAAAACACCAAACACAGCACGCTTCTGCAAAATAGGTTTTTATTGGTTTCTGTATGGTATTTGGAGATTTAACATTCCCTAAAATTGCATACTACTCATACGTGTTTTGTTACAGTAACTGGCCTCTGGCCTGGATTTAAAGATGCACTACTGCTATCTGAAGATAATACAGGTATGTTAAGTCTGTACACGTTATATGAAGATCTTGTGCGGTAACTGAAATTTCTCATTCCAGATTTCAGTGAATTCTTGAGGCCACTGTTGAAATTTTATCAGCTGGCAGACCAATGACAAAAATCCTCAGTTGGACAATTTATTAAATTTAAACCAACTGAGAACTAGCCACGAAAGAAAGACAATAGTGCATCTTTTTATTTTACTTATTTATTTATTTTTAAGACAGACCTGACAACAGAAACTTTCCAGTTGCCAACTTCTCCTACAACTTATTTCTGGGCCAACATTATTACTATTTTTTGATTGCTGCTAGCAACAGTTTTTAAAGCAAATACTGGAAAATTAAAAAGCTGTATGAACCAGTCCTCAGACAAAAGTGCAACGATGAAAAACTTAGATATGATTCAGTGTGTCAAGAGTAGGGAACTGAAAAATAAATTCCATGCTTTGCATAGTTGCATAGATTAGCTAGCTGGTATTCACATTTAAGCAAAACAAAAGGTGCCCAATACCCAAACTCTCCAAAACTGTATTTTGAAACAGACTTCACAACTGACGGGGCACATCAGTATCTCATACAAACACCAAAATGCTTTTTTCAGTTGTTTTTTTTTTTTTTTTTTTTTTCCCTTCAGTGGTTTCATCTGTTTAGGCAACATTGTTATGCTCACATCTCTATGACAGGTGACTACACCAGAGCTGACTGTAAGACATCATCTTTTTATACTGTTCATTAATGTGCTTTTAACCAAATGTGCAAGAAATCCAATGATAAAACAGGAAGGACCATTTTTTATGCTTACAAAGACATATTTTTTTGAATGTCAGAGTAAACCAAGTGTTGAGTTCAAATAACTGTTTCATTAGCTAAAGCCCATCACTTTTATCTCCCTTTTAAGCTATTACACTTAAATATATCAGACATGAAATATATTTACCTAAATGCATAAAGTGCAGTCACTAACTGTTCAGACAACATACCCACAAAACTGAAGACATTCTTTCAAAACAAATATAATACTTTGTACGCCCCCTCATTTCATTTTCAAGCATTCCAATCGAGATTTTTATAGTTCAGATTTTGGTTTAAGTTAGAGAGGCTTATAAATGCAGTGTTTGTAAGGTCCTCCAAATAAAAAGCAGGCACAACTGGTTACATAACATTATCAAAACAAGTCTGTTAGAAATAATGGAATACCCTGTTACCTGAATTCTTTATTTCTACACTAGAAGAACATAGAAATTCAGCATTTACTAACAATCGTAGTACATTTCCATGATCACTACCTGTACTTTGAACAGATGGTGAGAAGGTCAGCATACGCAAACTGAAAACTGTAAGAGTAAAAAGGGCACAAATACAATCATCTAATATTATATGAAAATTTGGCAGCTGTAACTCAGATTATCACGCTATTCAAAACCATTGTATGCTGTACAAATCTAGGTTTAAAGTGTCATTTGATAAAACATCTCATTATTCAGAGTTCATAAAGTAACAGCACTCCTATATACACACCTCTTACACGTCTGAATTCCAGTACAAAGACTTCAAAAAGAGACTTCATTTCTCCCAGTTACATCTTAGTCAAAACTGATCATTAATCTTAAAAAATCCACTTCAAGTCCCACATTCAATTACAATACAATTATATATTGCTGCAACATCAAAGCGAAACATCTTAGAATCCTAACTTGCACGTAAAAAAACTCTAGATATAAAATGGTACTGTAGATGATATCACCTTTAATACATATTTTTCAGTGCATTAAAATATTGTGCACAGTGCCATGGGATAAGTAATTTCACGTTTGAACTGCAGCTTTTTATGAAGTATGAAATGCTGTCATATGCCAACTCACTTAACCCAGGAGTTTGAAGATAATACATTAATTACAGATAAAAAAAAGAAATCATACTTTAGTTAATCCAAAGTATTAGTTTATCCAAATGAAACATCTACTGATATTCCAGAAACACTGCATATATGCAAGTCCAAGCACAGCACACATTCTTCTGTACTCAAAACTGTTAACGTGAATATTAGAATTCTGTTTCTGTTAGTGTTTAAACAGCAAACACTGTGCACAGCAGAGCCTAAATATTTAGAATACAGTAACTTCTAGTTAGTTTTGGTGTCCACAAACTTAACGTGTATTTACAGTATAACAAATTGTCAATTAGCTGGAAAGGAGTGATTCTCTACTCATTCCTCCTTGCAGTATTTTCATTGTCTTACAAGAGAACTGAGTTTGTTAACTTCCAGAACAACTCAAGTGGTGGTAGCATATTTGATCAAAAATGTAACACCTACTTTCTCAACCTTTAAGAAGCTACTGTTACTAGAAAGACTAACACTGCAACGTTTCCCCAACTGAAGTGCTGTTACTACATTTTGGCAGGAGACAGCTGTAAACCATCTGCTTTGTATTTCCAACTGTACAAATGACCATCTCTGTCATCCATGATTGCAGCATTCTTGTGGTAACTACAGCAACTGCTTCCACAGCAAAGTATTGTATTTGTGGCTGACTTTAAATGCCATTTAGCAGCTTTAATTACAGAGCAAGCACCAAGTGACCAGCAAGCCCTCTGCTGATTCCAATTTGAAAACTTCTGAAACAGTCTCTTCCCACATAATTGTGTAAAAGCTTTTTCAGGTACTCAGTATTATATATTGTGTAATTATCATTATATATATGTATTTATGTCTTTAAATACATTTTATAAATAAATTCCAACAGCGTGTGGTAAAGTAAGTAACATGTGGAAGTTTCATAATTTAAATAAATATTTTTCACATTCCAATTCAGCTTCTAACAAGCTCATCTTTATTTCATGCCTTAGTTCTGAAGCAATGTTCAATGCTTCAATACAAGAGGTAGATTTGATAGACTGGGCAAGTCAAGCCTACTGCCAAAAATACAACTGTCAGTAACTGTATTGCTGATACGGAGTTTGAGACTACAAGAAAGATTCAGAACTACTGCCTAAAATCCTTTTAAGTCTTAGCTTAGCAGTTCCTGTTAAATCACATGTAATGTTTTACTTTAGACATGATTACTCACAGTTGTTTTCTGTACATATGAGAATCAAAAAAAAAAAAAACAAAAAAAACAACAACCAAACAAGTACAGAACAAAGAACAGTTGTATCTAACAAAATACAAAAGTGCATGAGCTGCTTCTTCATCTATTTCTGCAAAACATACTCAAATTTCCCTCTACCTTTGGCCATAAAGAAAAGACTTCAGGAACACAAACAAAAACTCTACAAGTGTATACATTTTCTACTTGTCTTCACTTGAATAGTTCACAACTGAAACCCCTCCATTGGAGCCTCCTGCTGTTGGAAAACAAACTGCTGCTGACTTTCATCCACCTGAGGTGCAATACTGGAATCCTCTTCTTCAACGCCAAAGTAATGCTCTATGAGTTCAAAAGCCTTTTGGTAGATCTCCTGGTTTTCATGTCTCTGAAGAAATTCAATTTTATCAAGTCCTAAGTTCAAAACAAAACATTTTCATAGTCTAGTTTCTTCAGAAGAATTTAAAGGGAAACTGATTCTAAGGATGAAAACTTTCCGGTGGTACTTAGATGAACTGAGATGGTTTAGGGTTGCATTTCTTTTATTTGGTATAACTGATTTTCACATACAATCATGTGGTTGTGTTTTTCCTTTTTCTTTTTTTCCCCTCCCTTTCTATTCTTTCTGCCTTTTTTTTCCCCACACCAAATGCTCCTAATGGATATATTACTGAATTTCTTAACCCACATATTTTTATGTTTCGTTTTCAGCAACTTCTGCTGTTCTAACTATTTTTCATGCTAAAAGAATATAAATTAATCTAGGGAGGAAGTGCTTATTGTACCCACATAGAATTTGTATACACAGAAAGCAAGTAAGTACGCAGTCACGACAGCATAAAACTGCTTTCCACAGCCATTTCCAATACCCTCATTCCTTTTCTTTCACTCTCACAGTCTTCAAAAACACTAAATTCTATCATCACATCTATCAGCTTAGTATCACTTTTTCTCAAATTTCTTCTGTAATTTGATGATGCTTTATTTCCAAAGGCTTATCACATGCAAGCTGGAGGAAATAACCTGCTGTCAGAGTACCTGGAGATCAGGTAGATGAAGACTCAGAACTCATTTTTAGCTGTTTAAGATGTTTCAGTTTCAATTTACATCAAATTAGGAAGGGCTAAAAAGAAATTCTTCTGGTTACGATAGAGGCTGGAGAAGTAAGTGTGATGCCATCAGCTAATTCCCCTACTCAGCTCCAACAGCCTACTCAACTAGCAAATTTATTGTCTAGGTTCTCTATGTGTAAGTGAAATTTAGAACAGACTTTGGACAAGATTTGGACCAGAATAAATTTCATTAAGCCAAATAAATACTTTTATTCCTCTTATATCTTAGGCTAAAAAGAAGGTCCTGCAGGTTGCAGATTTTAGAAATGCAGCTCCTAAACAGAGAATTCAGATTTAGTGCTTACTTGGAAGAAAAGTTAGTACTATCCGGTCAGATATAATACAGTCATCCAGAACTGTTATGACCAGTTCATGAAACACAAACATCTGCCATTTTTATGCTGTCAGAAATTACAAAAAGATAAGCCTCCATAAATAATGCTGAACTCATTATGATAACAAAATCGATGTTTAAATTTAAAGTCAGAAGTACCTAGCCATGAAATTCAACAAATGTAATTTTAATTTTGATAGTTTAAACTGCTTTTGAAATACAGTTTAATTCCACAAATCTTAAAAGAAACAGAACAAAATACTTCCACGTATACTCATAAACTTATTACGAATTCTTGCAATTTCTGATATTTACTATGTTAAAAAGTGACTGACTTCAGGAATAAGCAAAACTAACTCTGATCATTCATCCCTATACAGTAATGAAACTGAACAGGAGAGAATTATATATTAAAGTAATAAAACTATGCTGCAGGTTTAGGTGATAAATTTATGCCAATACTTAATCTGCAATGATTTAAAGTCTACTTACGTTTGAAGTACAAATTCTTATACTCACCAAAATAGTTCACTACATTTTTTACATTTCCCTGGAACAGGTAAGTTTAGGTATGTAGCCTTGCAGTAAGTAAATTCTTACCATATGCTTCCTCTATAAGGGCACAATAAGGATTAATGCCCATTCCATTTTGCTTAGACTCTTGTTCTCCAAGACGCAGAATATTTTCAAGTCCATTCAAAGCCACCTGTACTATTTTTGAATCCATCACAGTCAGGAGGTCACAAAGAGGCTTGGTACAACCTAGTGCTACCAAATACCTTTAGGACAGCAGAAAAAACAGAAGAGGTTGGGGTGGAAAAGGAGGTCTGATAAACCAGCACATCTACTCTTATATGACGTCGTTACACATTAGCTGTGATTTTGTTATAAAATAAATGGTTGAAACAACTGCAACAAATAATCTAAAGCATGAAACACAAAGATAACCTCAGTCTGAAATACAATAAATATTCTAATTTATCCTAATGAGAAAATGTAATGTACATTCCTAACAGGACTTCCACATTTGTAGTCTATTCATCTTCTTTCAACTTATGATCCTCAGATGGATTTGAATGAGTACACGAGAAAATGACAGTATTGGCAGTAAGTTCTTTTCTCAGGCATTAGAAACTTAAATTTCAGCAGCAAAAATAAAAAATAAAAAAAAAAAAAAATCACACAAAGTAAGAAGAGGGGACATGGCTCTGAACCAACACAGTTCATATTGTTAGCCCATCAAAATACCAGTCCAATTATCCACTGGAAAGGACATAACAGTAAATACAACAAAATACTGCGATTCTGAGCAACCTTTTTCCAATTTTGCACAAAATCCTAACTTCTGGAAGACGTTACTTATGTCCTTGTTTCCAGTCTGTATGGAAAACAACGACACTAATGTTTGTCTGAATCAAAGGATTGTTTAAATATTTATCAGTTGTTTTAAATTATCCTACAGCTGCACAGTAGTATCTTGGGGATCTTAGAAGTGCTAAAATTTCTTGACAGTAATAGCTGTCATGAAATTTAGCAACTCTGTACTTTATGGTAAGAAGCAACTTTTGTGCTATTACATACATGATATATGTTTGGTATTTGAAGACTGCTATTAAATTTAAGATAACACATTGTGCAAGCTACTAAAATAACAAAACCAAACCCAAACTACCAACAATAAATGCACAATACCAAAAAACTTTCCTTACCACTGAAAACAAGTAGTGGCAGTACAGTAAGAAAATCAGAATGAGATTTTATTTTTTTTTTTAAATAAACAAACATGCAGTTATTGCAACAAATCTCCCAAACACGCTGGTGGAGTTGCTACATAATTTTGTGCACTCAGGTTTTTAAATTTTTAATACTTTACATGATCATTTTAGAATCCATTTATCAGATATTGATTGAATTTGATCAGTTTGTTAATGGCTCTCTAGTTTCTCAGAATGTGTTTTATTCTAGTTATTCAACAGGTCCACTCTCTGTAGTATTTTGATAGTTGCCAAGTAGATTTTTAATCAAATCCCATTTTGGAAAAAGTTAGCTATCAGCACGAAGTAACACTGTTAGTGAATTTATGTACATGAAGAAACCACTGAAACTCCTAAGTCCTCCTACAGAGAGATGCAATCATATTGCACAAGCTTCTAAACAACTGTCCTAAAGTTTTCCATTTTCAAAACACTCACAGTTTGCTGAATGTTTAAATAGTGCCTGACAGCACAATATTGACTCTGGAAAATAATCCCATGAAAGGTTTATGTCTAACATCCCCAAACCAAGTTAATTGAGTTAGTTTATTAACTCTACTGCATAAATTTTCCTATTTTTTTTCTGAGCTTCTATATGTTTAAGTCAGCACAGACATAGCTTAAAAAAATTATAGTTATGTTTAGTTTTTTGTTGCCATGTTTGTCAGGATTCAATTTGAGGAAGAACATGCCTTAGAAAAGGTATCCAGGCAGAGAAAACAACACTACAGCTTACCTAATCTGTTCAGGGGTTCCTCCTGATGTTGCATTAGTTATGGCCCATGCTGCTTCTTTTCTGGTGCGAAATTCAGCTTTCTGAAGAATCTCAATCAATATTGGAAAAATATTTGCATCTATAACTGCCTAAGAAACAAGAAGAGGATAATGATAATTTATGGAGGTTAACATACAGAGGGCAAAAAGATTAATAACCTCACTACAGTGGTAAGCAATGCCTGTTCATATCAAAGGAAGCAATGTTTTCTTAGAAGGCATTCCACTAACTACAAATGCTAAAAGAAAATTCAGAACTATTCCAACGTTGCAATTAGTTGATTTCTCTCTGGTGATCAGGATACACCTTACCAGACAGATCTACTGAAAAATCATGTGACATAAGCACAAAATTTGAAATTTTGAACTAGAAATCAAGCCTCACTTGATCTTAACAGAACTCCACTTTGGCAATTTTATTCAAGACATTCAAAACTTACACAGAATTATAGACTGTTAGGACTACAACAAGCAATGCAATCAATGTAGCATCTTATTTCCCTTTGTGAATGAAAATCAAATAAAATACTAAAAACAAACCCACCCAAATTGCTATACATAGTTTGTACCTGAATTTGAGCTCTGTTTCCTGCAGTAATATTAGAAACAGTCCAGCACGCTTCTTTTCGAATAGATTCCTTG